GCAGGGCGGGGCAGCGAACGTCCCTGCTGTTGTGCACCGGTCACCATGAGCTGGGCCCACAGGACGGAGGACACCGCACAACAGCAACATGCAGGATAAGCTGCCCTCGACCCCTGGTCAGCCCGCTGTCCCCGGTGGAGCTCCATCGGCGGGTTGCTGTGATTCGGAGCAGGGTCCCATGGAGCTCCCACACTAAGACTAGCAGGAAAGTCCCAGCACTCTGCTTCCAAAACTCAGCCAGGGGAAACCCTGTGGCTTCCGGGTCTGTCTCAAAGGCGGGCAGCAGCAGCAGGTCTAGGCTAAGTGTGAATGCAGAATGTAGGGCAATTCCCAGCCGCAAAGAATAACAGGGAAATGTATTATCCAAGAATGCCATAAACGATCATTCAGGAGTTCTTTCAGAGACGAACGGGGTGGGGTGGGGGTGGGGATATATGTGTTCTGCGATGCACCCCAGTGCACCCGTACTGACCTTGTTGAAGTGGCTCCTGTAGGCAGAGTTCCCTAGGCCAAACACCGCGTACCTCATGCCCTTCAGGTACGTTCGGCCGAACCGAAAGTCGCTGGCCGCCTCCTCCAGCCACTTGCAAAACCAGAGGGCGCTCTCGGGAGGCTGGCCATCCGTGTAGGTGGCCAGCAGGAAGGCGCAGACGTTCTTCCTGGTCACCTGGCCGGGGATGTAACAATAGCAGGCTGATGCTCGGCATCGTTTTGATGGAGGAAGAAAACAGACTACTCCTGGAGGCACAGGCTGGCGGCCACGAAACCTCGTACTCCCCATACTGCTCTCGGGAGACAGGAGGATGTGCTGGAAAAGGCGGCTCACTTTCCAGAGCGGGAGGGCAGGAGGGGCAGATATCTTCTTACAAACCACACTCCGTCCTACCGAGTCGATGCCGACTCACAGCCGCTCTATGCGAGGGGCAGAACTGCCCCTGTGCGTTTCCAAGACCGTCAGGCTTCACGGCAGTAGAAAGACAGCCCCTCCTTCTCCCTGAGGCAGCCAGAGGCTTCGAACTGCTGACCTTGTGGTTAGCAGCCCAACGCATACCCACGACGCCACCAGGGCTCCTTCTGGACATCACAGAAGGAAGAAGCACAACACTGTGGCCGAGCCGGCGGAGCCCTGGTGGGGGCCGCCTTAGAGAACCACTGTCGGCCGTCGGGGGAATGAGGGGATGCGTCTAGACCACATGGCTAGTAAGAGCGTTCTCCACCTCCCCACGGCACAGTCCGCCTTCTAAAGGGGCTCTCAGCTTTCCAGCTTCCTAGTCATGGCATCAGGGACAACCTGAAGAGGGGGCTCTCAGTGGTGGGAGGAGACTTCGGGCCTCCACTGCCCCCAAGAAGAGTTATTGGAGTAGAGGGGCCAGGCCCAGCCCACTTCAGTGCCCCACTCAGTCGAGGCCTCGAGTCACGCGGGAAATGCAGCCACCTGAAATCCCTTCAGATGGAAGCTCAACTCATCCTGCAAACCCTCCTCTCCTCTCCTCCAAGAGCAGGCGGCCAGGCTCGTGTGAAATGCAACCAGAGCAAGCAGTCCCGGGGCTGTGGACCCACCTCCTCCAGCAGGTGGTCATCCGGGTCGTAGTCTTTCAGATCGCTGACGGTCACGGGCAGGGCGAGAGTGGCGACCGCTTCGGCAAGAGCGGCTGCGAATCCCTGGAGGAGGGGGCGAGTGGAGAAAGCTGCATATGAGCCAGGGGAGCAGGGGCCGCCCGGGCTGGTCCTGTGTCACGGCAGGCACTGCGGGGCCCCGATGAGCCCCCTCACCAGGTACCTGGCAGCTTGTTACTGCTGGCAGACGCTGCCTGGTTGGCCCTGGCCCATAATGACTGCCAGGTCCAATAGAACAGAACACTGCTCGGTCCAACTCGCTGACCACGGACATACGTGAGGGGGCTTCAGAAAGGGCCTGGAAAGGTCCCATAATCTTCTTATTCCAAGTACTTTCTGAAGCCCCTTCGTATCATGGCACACACAAACATTACCGTAGATATTCGGGTACAAGCCGAGTTTTCCAGCACATTTTTAATGCAGTTTTTGTGGTAAAATTAGGTGCCTCGGCTGATAGTCGAGTGGGCTTATACTCGAGTATAGACGGTAGTCTTTTTCTTCCCCATTTCCCCAAGTGTCATCATAAGGACCATTCGCTAGGTAGTTGTTCTTGCTCCAGAAGGCTAGAAACAAACAAACAAACCCACGGTCATCGAGTTGATTCCAACCCACAGCGACCCTGCCAAGGGTTTCCCAAACTGCAGCTCTTTAGAGAAACCGACAGCCTCATCCTTGTCCCACGGAGCAGCTGCAGGTGTGAGCCACCCACCTTGCAGTTGGCAGCCCAATGCCTAACCCACGGCACCACCAGGCTCCTCTCTAAGGCCATGACAGCCAGCCAAACCAAACACACTGCCATTGAGGCATGCTGACTCACGGTGACCCGGAGGACAGGGGAGAAGGGCCCCGTGGTTTTTCAAGACTCAGCTCTTCATGGGAGCAGAAAGCCTTGACTTTCTCCTGGAACAGGACCTAAGGAGCTGGTATCTAAATTGGCTCTTCGACGTTTGAATGGCTTTGTCCCACCAGACTCAAACCAAAAACCAAACTCCCGGCCAGCAAGTCGATGCCAACACACAGAGACCCTGCAGGGCAGGGTAGAGCTGCTCCCGTTGTGCAGTTCCTGAGACTCGAACTCTTTACAGGACCAGAAAGCCCCGCCTTTCTTTGCCGAGGCAGATCAAGCACACAGACGTTCATGAAGACCATGGTGCCCGGGAGATGACCACTACTGAGTCCAAACTGACTGGACAGATGGCTTCTCACAGCAAGACCACAAGCAACACGCACAGACTTTGTGCGGGCGGCCAAAGGCCGAGAAGGTGGCCCCTTCTGTTGCTTTCACGCTGAGTTTATAAAGTGGGTGTGTGACCTTCACTTATGACATAAACCAATGTGCTCCTATTAAAAAA